ACTCTTATCCATTCACCACCCAATTTACCTTTATCACCTCAAAAGTTATCGCCTACTACAGAGGTATCTTTAACAATCGGGGCTCGTCCCAAATTTGAGTCCTCTACACCTTTACCAACTCCCGCATCTCGACATAGACCTAATGTCTTGGACATTTTCCCTTCATCCTCTACTTATGAGAGTTCTTCACCTTTGGAAGAAATAAGTGAACACGCTTCTACACCCCAAGGAGTAGAAACCGTTTTTAGCTACTTAGACCAAATCGGTAAAGAGGCTAATAAATATATACTCAAATTTACTACAAATCAAACCCAGGATTTGGATCAAGTATATGGAATTTGTTATAACGGTGAAAATTTTACTCTCGGTGACACGGTTATTTCCATTAAGGATGATTGGTTGGATGTTGATGGCTCGCTGTTCAAAATTACTCCAGGGCTGTCTCAGCTATTGTTCTTAGAAGATCCCGATATGGATAGGGTAGATGAAAACGATAAAAAAAATTATAAAATAATATTAACAAAAACTAATGCTCATAGAATGAATTATAGTTCCACAGGATCGGTCAATGTTCAAAAAGGAAGTAAAAAATATAGGAAAGTAATCGCTAAGCTTTTTCCACTGAAGGATAAAATCAAAGGGAAAGGTGATAATGATAAAGACCAGGACCCTAATCAACTGGTTGAAAAATTGAGATTTTTACTACAGACTCATGGACCAGAAAAAGAAATTCTAAAGGTTGAGAAAAGTCTACGAATGATGGGTATAATATTATAAATAGTGGCATGATGAGGGGAGGGGGAGGAGTTGTTATTGTCATTGTTTCGACTGATCTCGGCCATGTCGGATATCAAGAAACAGGTAGTCGAAGAATTGCATAAACCGGCTAGACGGTCCTTCCACAGGAGAGGGGTGATTCTGAAGGGTATCGATGACCTATGGATGGTAGATTTAATCGAGGTGTGTTCATATGCCAAAGAAAATAGAGGTTATAAATATATTTTAGCTGTAATCGATTGTTTTTCTAAATTCGCCTGGCTATCTCCATTGAAGTCGAAATCTGGAAAAGATGTAACGTCAGCTTTTGAAAATATCCTAATCCAGGATGGTAGAAAACCACGTAACTTACAATCTGATCGAGGAAAAGAGTTCTACAATTCATTTTTTCAAAAATTAATGAAATCCAACAAAATAAATCATTACTCTACTTTTAGTAATATGAAAGCTTGTATGGTAGAAAGATTTATAAGAACTATAAAAAATAAGATTTGGAAACAATTTAGCCTCCAAGGAACATATAAATGGATTACGATATATGAAGATCTAGTTAAAAGATATAACAATACAAAGCATAGAACCATAAAGATGAAACCGTCTTCAGTCAGAGGTAAACAAATTGAGAAACATTTACTTCATAACGTCTATTGTAAACTTGAAAATGTTTTATCGAATCGTAAACCACCAAAATATCAAGTCGGTGATTTTGTGAGAATTTCAAAATATAAAGCCGATTTCACCAAGGGATATCGGCCCTCGTGGTCGACTGAAATCTTCAAGATCGATCAAGTGAGGAAAACCATTCCGGTAACCTACTGGCTTAAGGATACATCAAATCAAACGATCGCTGGTGGATTTTATGAGCAAGAAATCCAAAAAGTGAAATATCCTAACGTATATTTGGTAGAAAAAATTTTGAAACGGAAAGGTGATAAAGTTTTTGTAAAGTGGTTGGGTTTCGATTCAAAGCATAACAGCTGGGAAAGCAAAAAAAATATAAATGTCTAGAGGGGTGGGGAGAGAGAGTGAGGGGGTGGGAGGATCGACACAACACTCTTTTGAGTCATTCTGTTACTGACAATCGAACTGTTAACATCGTCATGGCTAAAACAAAGGAAAAGAAGAAGATTCGTGTTATTCGCCCTCCAAAAAAAATTGGAGGAACGTTTAGTGAAAAAGCAAAACAGATGTTAGGGTCCATGCCAAAAATGAGTTTAAGCGATAGCGATCTTATAAATTTGGCTAAAAAGTACAAGATCCCTCATTTCCGTGGTGTTTTCGCAAGAGATAACTTACCATCCAAGCCTTGGTTTCGTGAGAGAGCCATTTTGAATCTAGATAGTGCTAAGGGTAAAGGTACACATTGGGTATGCTATATGAAAAATGGTCATTATGTGAAATTTTTCGACAGCGCCGGTAATAAAGGTCCTCCTTCTGATTTGGTCAAGTATCTTAAAGACTGTCGTATAAGTTTCGTTAGTAAAAGATATCAAGATCCTGAAACCTATATTTGTGGACACTTATGTTTACTATTTCTCTCTAATTTATTATTATAATTTATTCAATAATAAAAAAATATAAACTTTTCGCAGTTGCTACTTTTTTACTTTTAAAATATAGGGCTAGACTTTGGAAAAGTATATAAAAGAAGAGATGGATTACAAACAAAGCTCATTCGTTTCAATAACCTCGGTGGAGTAACATCTCTAACGAAAGAAAATTTTGAGTTTCTTCGGTTGGCAGGTTATCAAGTACTATGGAAGAAATAACAGATCTAGGTTCGACCGTAGCATTTACCGATTCAATCGAGTCGATAGAATATCATTCCCATTTTCCATATGCTTCGACAAAACTACTTCGAGGTGATGAAATCAGAATCTTAGTCCAGCATCAAGATATTTTCACATTACCATCTAAAAGTTTTCTTTATTTCGAGGGACGATTTTTAAAAGAGGATGGTAGCGGGGTACCCACATCGGCTAAATTAACAAATAATGCTTTATCCTATTTATTCGATGAAATCAGATATGAGTTATGCGGTGTTGAAGTAGACAGAGTCCGTAATTCGGGTATCACTAGTACTCTAAAGGGTATGGTTTCCTTCATGGGTGGATCCTCTATGGAACATATCGGTTGGTGCTGCCCTATATCCGATTCACTTGATAGCTTAGTCTCTGATGATGGTTATTTTAACTTATGTATCCCCTTATCACAATTACTAGGGTTCGCGGAAGACTATCAGAAAATTATTGTTAATGTTAAGCAAGAATTAATTCTCATGAGATCACGGACTGATGAAAACAGTTACATATCTAAACGTATAGGCGATCCAGAGAAAGCAAAAATTGAATTAACAAAGCTATGTTGGAAATTGCCTTATGTATCAGTGAACGAATTTACACGATTGACTCTTTTACGCCGACTAAAGTCGGAAAAAATCGTTTCAGTAGCATTCCGGAGCTGGGAATTGTTTGTTTACCCCCTCTTGCCCTCTACACAGAGACAGGTTTGGGCGGTAAAAACTTCAAATCAGATGGAGAAACCGAGATACATCGTATTAGCGTTTTCATCTGATCGAATTAATAAAATTGAAAAGGATGCTAGCCAATTCGATCATTGTAATATCAGTAACGTAAAACTATATTTAAATTCTAAATCGTACCCTTATGACGATTTGAATGTGGATTTCGATAAAAATCGATTCGCGATACTATATCACATGTATAATAATTTTCAAAATTCTTACTATCCTGGAAGATATCCTTCAGAGCCACTCCTTTCCCTAAAAAACTTTAAAGAAAAAGCACCGGTTATCGTAATCGATTGTTCTAAACAATCGGAATCTATCAAGTCCGGACCGGTCGATGTGAGGTTAGAATTCGATTCTTCCAAACCTTTTCCGCCTGAAACAACTGCTTTCTGCCTCATCATACACGATAACGTTGTAGAGTACAACCCTTTAACGAGTATTATAAGAAAAAGGGTATAAGTAATAATAAAGGGATTCATTGTAATTTATTCTCAGTTTTCATCATGTCATCAAACGGTGCGGTTGTGGAACTTCAATGCTTCGTAGATGATGCAAATAATTATATAGTTAAAGAATTATCGATTTTCGATTTAAAACATAATGCAGCCAGCAATTGGATTTTCAAACCACCTTCTCATCCGGTTGTTACCAGTGCTAAAAGCATGAAAACGAACCGCTGGCTTTCGAAAAATTATCATTTACTAAGTTGGGATGAAGGAGATGTTCCCTATCACAATTTATCATCGATTTTTCATAATATCGATTTAAATTATAAATATATTTTTGTAAAAGGACAGCAAAAAAAAGAATTTTTGTTACAATTTTTGCACTCGTGTGAAATTATCAATCTTGAGGAATATAAATGTCCTCGAATTGATAATATGCAAAGTATACAAATAGCCCCATGTATTACTCATAGAGACTTGAAATTAATGTGTTCATATTATCGTTCGCATATACTAGCAGAGTGGGTATATTCGAATTACGATTTGATTTTCAAATTTTTATAACTTTTGTTTAGTTTTTCTATAATTTAATAATAAAAAAAATATATATATATATAAAAATATAAAAAAAAAAATGTTTCAATTTGTTATTTATTCTATGTTAATTTGATTTCTTATTTTCAACAGATTTTTTTTTTGTTTTTGCATTTTGGTCACTGGCACGGTATTGATTTACCTGTAAACCAAAAGTATGTGTGTGTGTGTTTGATTTGGTCACTGGCGAGGTATTGATTTACTCGTAAACCAAAAGTATGTATAATTTGGTCACTGGCGAGGTATTGATTTACCCGTAAACCAATGTGTGCATGTATGTGTATGTGTTTGATTTGGTCACTGGCGAGGTATTGATTTACCCGTAAACCAATGTATGTGTGTTTGAAAATATGTAAAAACAAAAAAAAAAAAAAACCTCCTCGAAATACCCCCACCTTGACGTGGTGAGGAGGCTTATGTCAAAACATGTTTTTTGACGAACCAAGAGGGGTATGAAACAAATTATATCAACCTTAGGGTCACGTGACGAGAATCCTCGAATCTGATTGGTTGATGGTTTCCCCCACCATTCATTTTGGATACGGACATGTGTAAGCATGAGTTATTCTTGTATAGACTTGTTTTACTGAGCAAAGGGAGGTTACACAGAGCTCCTCTTCAGTCATTGTGTAGTCGAAGCTCAAGCAGTTAACATGGCTAGTCTCGCTACTCTCCTCAACGACGTCAATCGAAAAGGTGAAGGTATAGGACGGATATCAGACATGAAGGTAGATTTCACTTATGAAGTCGTGAAATTTAAAAGAATCATCACGATATATGGTGTTGCTGTTATTGCACAACTGAAATATCACGGTCCTACCGACATTTATGATATTCATCCACACTGTGTTTTCATGCCTAAAAGATTTACAGAAGTCTTAACTGACGAAAAGTTAAACGAATACAATTACTGTGAAAAAAGAATAAACATAATTTACAGAGGACTAATCAATGGTAGATATGAAGTGGATTTCATATAATTTTTTTTCTTTTGTTGGAATAAATTTTCTGTTTTGAAGAAGTTAGTTAATTTCTATTTTATTTATTTTTTTTTGTTTTTGCATTTTGGTCACTGGCGTAGTATTGATTTACTCGTAAACCAATGTGTGCATGTATGTGTATGTGTTTGATTTGGTCACTGGCGAGGTATTGATTTACCCGTAAACCAATGTATGTGTGTTTGAAAATATGTAAAAACAAAAAAAAAAAAACCTCCTCGAAATACCCCCACCTTGACGTGGTGAGGAGGCTTATGTCAAAACATGTTTTTTGACAAACCAAGAGGGGTATGAAAAAAAAAATATATCAACCTAGGGTCACGTGACGAGAATCCTCGAATCTGATTGGCTGATGGTTTCCCCCACCACTCTCTTCCGACCCTACCGCTTCCTTCGCAGTGGACCTTGTCCCCCTACATGCCTATGCATGTTCAAACGTGAAGAGACTTGTCGCCTAACGCAGCTGTACTCTCCACGGCCTTCTATATAACATATGTTATGAAAATAATATTACGTATATTAACTTTATGATTTATTTTTTTTTTCGATATTAGAGTCTACTATTAGGTTATTATATTTGTAAAATTCGAAAATGATATTAGTTTTAAGATTAATTTAATAAAACTTTATTTGATATTGAAGTATAAGATTATTCGAAGTGCCAGATACTCTCCACGGCCTTCTATATAACATATGTTATGAAAATAATATTACGTATATTAACTTTATGATTTATTTTTTTTTCGATATTAGAGTCTACTATTAGATTATTATATTTTGTAAAATTCGAAAATGATATTAGTTTTAAGATTGATTTAATAAAACTTTCTTTGATATTGGAATATAAGATTATTCGAAGTGCCAGATACTCTCCACGGCCTTCTATATAACATATGTTATAAAAATAATAATATTACGTATATTAATTTTATGATTTATTTTTTTTCGATATTAGAGTGTACTATTAGATTATTATAGGTGTAGTATTAGAAAATGATACTAGTTTTAAGATCGATTAATCGAATTTCGATTTATTACAATATTCGTGATATTGGAGATGTATATTCTTAGATTATTAAATACGTTTTGATATTTATGAAAAAAAAAAACAATATATAAAAGTTAATGAGAAGAACAGAGAGGGGGGAGAGGAGGGGTGATGACGTTGTTGTTAATTTTATGATATATTATCGTAAAATTATTAGAATATATGTATATATTTCATTGTTATAATTTATATTCCTTTTGTAATAATATATATTTTATTCGTTACTATTTATGTTTATATTCATTTGTAATAATATATGTGTATATTTCATTGTTATAATTTATATTCGTTTGCAATAATAAATATTTTAGTCGTTACACTTTATATTTACTTGAGGTAGACAAGATGGGACCAGTTCAGACATGATATCGTAGAATGTCACATTATATGTCTATATTTATGTCGTTACACTTTATATTTACTTGAGGTAGACAAGATGAGACCAGTTGAGACAGGTCCGGACCTGTCGAACTTAAAAATGAAAAAATACAAATTAGGATTAAGGATTAGGATTAGGGATTAAGATCAATCAAAATAAATTATATTGGTCACGTGGTGTACAGGTGGTTAAGGTAAGAATAGCCCAGGGTCCAAAGTCCAAAAGTGCTCCCCAAATTCTGGGACCAGAACCGCCATTTATACCCTACTAATGTTGTGTTGCGCGCACCAGATTTTTTCATTTATTACTGTAGAGTGTTAAAATCCTAACTGGTCATTATCAGTTAAAATCGGGGCTTTAATTACATCTCTACTTTCAACTTGGATCGCTTGAAAGGGGTTAGGAAAAAAAACCTTTCAGTTGAGGTCGGGACCTTACCAGACGGTTCGGTTACCTTCGTCTGCATTCGGGCACACTCCGCCGTTCTCGGGATTCTGTATATGGTGTGATCATGAGATCTTGCGCCACTCATCAAAGTAGAGTACACTTGTACAATAATATTAAAATAGATTGTATCTCATTTATTTTATTCAATAATTTACACTTTAGCCCCACTGTTGGTGGACAAGTGCTCTGCTGCTTCTAGGATCTGCGTCGAAGAGGATTCGTTCTTTCAAATACCTCGGCTCCACAATAACCTCAACGAGCGACCAATACTAGACCAACGAATAATGAGTGCCATCTCAGCTTTTATCTCTTTACAAAGGTATTAAAATCCCGAAAAATATCAAGAAATTTCAAATTAAGGGTCTACAAATACTAACAGTATCTGCGGGACCTGGTCACTAATTAGCACTCTAGAAAGGTGTGCTGAAAGATTTGAAGGGGAAACCCTCCACACGATAAACATAGCAATCTGGGGTCAGAGTCCTAACGTATGGATATTGCCCGACATGGGCAGCGGTGGAGTAGAGTTGTGAAAGTGACAACAGATCTATAAAGTGTGTAATGCTAAAAACAGATCGCGAAAATTTCTTTGCCCTGACAGCTATACCGCAGGAAAAATAAAAGTTAGAGAACTACTACCTTAGAGATGTTCAAAGTATTTTATCATTCATGACTTGCGTTATGACGTCGCCGGGCAACGCGTAGTGCTATGCACCCTCTTCTAAACTTGGATCAAAACTCTGGGGATCAACAGACAACAACACCACTATTCCCGATCTCAAAAAAAAGTACAGGAGGTAGGTAGGGTTATTGCCCCTGTATTCGGTCGGTGTGAGTTGCCTCCAGTAGAGCAACCACCAGGGTGGAGGACAAAATTATTTAAATATATGCATTTTTATTTATAAATTATTTAATCTTTCAAAAAGTCTTTATGTCTATAAAAAATGTTTTGTGAAATATATGATGTACAAGGCGCACTTAAAATGAAAAATAAATTGAAATCAATTTACATTTGTAATTTATTAGTCACTGTAAATTTTTACAATGTTTTATACCAACTGTGGATTACACAGAGAAAGTAGGAGAACAAGGCTAAGAGTAATAAACTGACTATGAGGGATATGATAGCCTGCTGGATCATATCGTCGATGAACAATATGACGAAGGCGACGATGGTCATGATTAAATAGATGACTATCAGTATCAGCTGGATGATGACGGCGGCGAAGAGGAGGTCTTTCTGCTTCGGGGCGATGAAGGTTATTATGATGAAAACTGCAGATATGATGAAGATCAAGAAGAGGATTATCCACAAGTAATACGACCATTCCCCGAGGCAGCTCCCGCCGTGGCCGCAGCTATAGCCGTGGTTGTGGTAGCCGACGAAGAACCCGGGCAGGATGAGCTCGACGATGCCGATGATTAGGGAACCTATAGGCAGGTCCAAGAGGCAGAAGCACTTGTCCACTGTTGGTATAAAGTCTAAGCTAGGTGCCATTCTACCTGAAACATAACAAATTGTAAGTAAAGAAAAAGGAACATCCCTTTAATGTTGATCAGTTAAAAAATGTGTTCAAAGTGCTCAGTTTTTGGCTATTCGTTTTTTATAAAGCATATTCAGTAAGGAGCCGATCTATTTGAAATAATAAATAATAAATAATACTTATACACTGACAGGCAAAAAATTCCACCCACTAGTTTTTCCATGTTTTCATCTAAAAATATGTCTGTAAAGTTGTATTTGTATATAATACATGGTATTTGTAGATAATACTTAGTATTTATAATATTTTTTACCCTTAATAATCAAAATGTGATTGAGTAAGAAAGATTAGAGAAAAAAAAAATTGAAAAACGAACCATTATTATTCTAAAAGAAATTAATTACATCATCGTTTAGTAGCGCGTGTTTCCTCCTCTTGCCTTCACTACCTCTTGAAGACGCTTCGGCATACTTTCCACCAGTCGGGAAATGTCCCTTTGCCGGAGGATAGCCCATTCCTCCCGAAGAGCCCTTCCAAGGTCCTGCAGTGTATCAGGAAGTGTTGCACGCGCTCTTATTCGTCTTCCGAGGTTATCCCGTAAATGCTTAATGGGGTTCAAATCTGGAGAACGTGCTGGCCAGGCTAAAACCTCAATATTGTTCTGTTGAAGGAACGTCTGCACTATGCGGGCGACATGTGGGCGTGCATTATCGTGCATTAGAATAGAACGTTCGCCGATTTCGTTAAGGATAGGCAACACATGAGGTTCCAAAATCTCATCTACATAGCGAATGGCCGTCAAAGACCCTCCACGAACGACGACCAATTCTGTGCGGCGCACCATTGAAATCCCAGCCCACACCATTAAGGAACCACGTTGGAAAGGTTGGCTCTGGGAAAAATTACAGGCTGCATATCTTTCGTTTCTTCTTCTCCACACCCTTTCACGCCCGTCTGGAGATCGAAGAGCGAATCTTGACTTATCTGTAAATAGTACAGCACTCCATTCGTCCATAGACCAATGGCTGTGTTCTCGAGCAAAAGTCAGCCGTGTTACTCTGTGAGTTCTGGTCCTCTTACTGGACGAAAAGCCATTAATCCATACTCATTTAATCTTCTCTGAGCGTTACGTTCAGAAATTTGCTCGAAGTTCTTCGAGCTGATGAATCGCTTGAACAACGGTAAAATGCCGGTTTTGTAAAATTCTCAAAGTCAAAAACCGGTCATCCCGTGGTTCTGTTACCCTAGGCCGTCCAGAACTGGGCCTTCTATTGTAAGAACCAGTTTCCCGAAAAGATGGCGTTTCGTAAAGTTTCATATGGAACCCCGATGGCATTAGCTGCATATCTAATGGAACGTCCATCATCAATAAGTGCCATACCACGCGCAACATCTTCAGCACTAAGAGCATTTTTAAACTTAATATTGAAAAAATTAAAAGCCGGAGACTAAGAAATGTGCTGCAAGAAACGGCACTGAACTATACTGAATAAACATTTTGATTCCATTGAAAGTAAACATTGGAATCTAGAATAATTTCATTGAATTAAGGATTAAGGATTATTATCCTCGATATTAACATTCTTAATTGAAAAGAAACAAAAAGATTATCTATTTATTCATTAAAAACAATAGACCAATCCAAAGCAGAAATGTTTTTAGATAAAAAAATCAAGTGGGTGGAATTTTTTGCCTGTCAGTGTATATAATGAGGGGCCGACCGGGGTAGCCGTGTGGGCTAAGGTCCTTGCAATAGGTAACCTAAATTAAGCAACGTCGAGCATGAATAGTACATGGATGGGTATGTGACCCTCCCTCTCGGTTATGTGAGACCCGTCAGTCTACTGGAGGCAACTCACATCGCAGAGAAGTGAGCGCCCCTGTGTCTGACATAGCTCCTGATCCTCCATAATCCTAATAATCCTACCTCGTAAAAAACACGATATTACGACTGTCTCAATAAGGACCCCGTCTTTGTATAGCGGACTTCATATTGGATCATGGAATGTTCAGAGCTTATACAGACCAGGGCAAAAACTGTCCCAAAAACGGCTCTGCTGATTTTGATTAAACTCGGTGTATCGTTGTGTAATTAAGTGGTCTTTAATATCATTTAATATCTTATCCCTGTTGATGTCACTTTACAGGGCTTAATTGCCCAACGTCAACATTTCTTCCTCTAAAGTAACTTTAATTTGAATAATTAACTATCGCTCATTGTTAGGAGTTACGAAAAAATGCAAAATATAACTTTTAAAAGAATTTGATAATTGAATAGTGGATAAAAAAAATGCTTATCAGGTCGAAAATGAATTTCCGGAAATAATATTCAGAAGGTATACTTATAATATATCGTTGGAAAGCGGAGAATTTTAGAAAAAACAATATCTAATCAAGAAAGTGGTAGAAGGTAACGGAGAGTGGCGAAAAAAATTACAAAATAATAATTTTTTTTAATTGTTAATATTTAACTTAAATTACAAGCTTTCTAGGAAATTATAATAAAACTAAATGTAAACTTAAAAAAATATTTTTATGTTTGTAAAAAGTATTTAAAATCTTCCTAATCATGGCAATGGCATAGTTAAAAAAAACTATTTCATTGTACTTGTGTGGAAGATGAAGTAAAACATAAAATCATTTCATGGATGTATAAAGTATATGTTTATAACCTTTTTTTTTTTTTTTATTATTTTAATGGAATTTACAACTGTATGAGAAATTTGTAACATGGCATGTACAACATGAAGAGAAACTACCCATTGGTAGAACTCAAATTAAAGTTCTATATTAGAAGATCCCGAGGCCATCTTCTTTTCAGACGCCTCGGAGGGTTATCAGGGATCGAGGAGGAAGCAAGGTTTGAAACGAGAGGATTCGGATGGTTCTGCAGTTTGTTATGGAAGGAAAGGTATCTGGATTGGGCCAGATCGGAAACATATGGAACATTAAGGTCTTTATGGATGATTTTATTTGTGACAAAGCAAGGAGCGTTGAGGATTTTACGAAGGATTTTGGATTGTAAGGATTGTATATGAGAGGAATTCGATAGTTTAGTGGAGCCCCAAAGCTCAATTCCGTAAGTCCAAATAGGTCTTATTATTGTCATATATACGAGTCGTTTATAATTGATTGAAAGCTTAGATCGTTTGTCTAGTAAGTGCTGCAGCGTTTATAACCTTAAATACATTTACTGTAGGTTAATAATTCTCGATCGGAGATTATATTTAAATAATTAGGTATCAACGTCCGTTGATTACGAAATATTGTCATGTAACGTTTTAGAAAATTATGTATAATGTAGAAAGTTGTAGAAGGTAACGTGACGAAAAAAATATAAATAATAATTTCTAAAAAATAACATTATTTAACGTAAATCTGGTAGGACATTTTTTTTTTTATTGAGTATTACAACAATCTGTCACATGGGCACTAGTTATATGAACTAAATATATAAAATAAATAACAAAATAACAATAAATAATAATCAAAAAGTATATACAATAAATAAAATAAAATAACCTAAAAATAAGAAAATTAAAACGAAGCAAAAAACACATGCTTAGCTATATACACTATTTACAATCAGGCGAGGGAACTCCAGGAGAACCCTGCGCTACTCTCTTAACAGCGTCACCGGTAGTAAATTAAATGAAATTCTCTCACAAAATTTTTTTACTAAATGTAAACTTTTTTTTTAAGATTGAAAAAATATTTAAAACCCACGGATTCAAGGCAATGACATTGTTTAAGATACTATTTCACTGTACTTGTGTGAAAGAAGAAGTGAATTATACAAATATTTCATGTTTATAACCTTAAATATATTTACTGTAGTTTAATATCTCTAGATCTGATGTTATATATAAATAATTAAGTATGTATCATCCATTTATTCCGAAAAATCATTATGTAATCTTTTAGAAAATTAAATTAGTGAATAATTTGATAAATTTTCCCTTTGTGAAATTCCAACAGAATCCATTTACAATCAGTGTTACAACTTTTGACCTGTCTGTGACAGACAATGCAAATCTCTCTATTCCGTTTTAGTATACTTTGCAATGGAAAATAACTGTTTAATAACTAATAGTCGTATAATCCATAATTAAGGGATCTTATAATCCATAACCAATCGGTGATATAATAAATCGGACTTTTGTTATTTTATATAGTATTTATGATTTGTTAGCTGCAATCTTTTAGCTTTAGCTTAGTTAAAAATGCAATTAAAAAATTTTATAATAGAACAACTTGGGCAGAAAACAATTTCTATTCAAAGTTTAGAGGTAATTGCTACCGCAAATCACTTTTCAATAAAAGTGATGACTTTGGTTTAAATTGTGTTTAAAAATCATATATTGGGTTATTTATCGTGGACGCTGCTGGCCTGTTTAGATGCCAAAAAAAAATAAAAAATATTTTTCAATTATCTGCAACGTTCCATAGTAATGAGATGAGTAAAGTAAACGTGATTAAATTACTCCAAGATGCAAGGATAGGGCATAAGTCAAAATAAAAAAGTCAAACATTTTCAAGAGAGTACGTAATCAAGTTGTATTTAATTGTTATTGGTGTATTAAAAAACTGTTTATTTCTCTATTTTAAAATTAAAAAAAAAAATGAATTTATAACTACGTAACGATATTTATTAACAAATATATAAACGGTGACAAAAACATCACATGTTTTTATTGAAAAATGATATGTGTTACTTGTTTTATAACATTTACATCCGCTGTCGGGTCGAAACGTTGGCTTTTAATAAAATTGTTTTGCCGCCACCCCGGACCATGTCCTTTCTTTATAATGCAACAGTCAACTATTAAATATTAAATATTCCATGATATGTTCTAGGCACGCTTAAAAGTTATCACTGCTTTTCATTTTTTCTTTTTAAAATGAAAATAATGTATTGTTATTATTAATCCAATAAAAAAAA